TGAATACTTCTGTGAGCTTCGAGTTGTTTGGTTTTCATCATGTAAAAATTATCTTTGTGACAGCTCCCTCTGCCTTAGAGGAAGGTGGTAAGGAGATAGCTCAGATGGGTGACTGGACAGAGATGGTCAGTGGTTCTGCCTCCCCTGTGACTGTCCCAGTTTTAGTACTGAAAGCCTCACATCCTAAAAGTCCCCCTCAGTCTCAAGCAAACAGATGGTGACCCTGTGCCACAGAAGTGGGGCGGTGTGAATGCCTCAGAGACTTAGATTTCTATTTCTGCTTGCTTGCAGAACAGGTTGACTCATTCCATATACACTCAACATTACTTGTTACAGACAAATTTGCTATTATGTTGATTGAATTTTTGGCAGAATTGAAGTCATGAATAGAGTATGTGGAATGAGGCAAGGGGATTGGGTGCGCACGCAGGAGATAAGTTTGGAGGAGTGGTGTGATTGCAAGATTTAGAAAGTGTATGTGACTTGAGTCTTCACTCAATCAAAGAGCTAAGCTGCTGCTAAGAGAGATAGCTAGTGGAAAGTTGCTCTATATCACCAGGAACTCAAGCTGGTGCTCTGTGACAACCTAGATGAATGGGATGGGGTGTTCAAGAGGGAGGGGGCATATGTATACTTAGAGCTGATTCATGTTGTTGTATGGCAGAAACGAACACAATATTGTAAAGCAATTATCCTCCAATTAAAAATGTTAAAAATGAGCAAAGCATTTGAATAGATATTTCACCAAGGAAGAGATACAGTTGGCCAATGAGCACATGAAAAGATGTGCAGCATAATTAATCACAGGGGGACACAAATCAAAACCACAGTGAGGTCCCACTGCACAATCATGAGGATGACTGTCATCAGATAGACCAACAGTGACAGGTCTTGGTGAGGATGCAGAGAAATTGGAATCCCCCAGCTGCTGGTGGGAATGTGACATGGTGCAGCCATCGTGGAGAACACGTGGGCAGTTCCCTCCAGAAGTCAAACAACTTACCACATGACCTAGCCATTCCATTCCTAGGCATCCCCTAGAAGAACTGCAAACACCTGTCCTCACAGTGACTTGCACACCATGCGCACAGTAGCTCTGGTTTCTAGCCCCACATGGAAAAAGACCTAAATGCCTATTGATGGACGAATGGATAAGCACATTCTGATGCAGTCGTATAGTATTATTCAGGAATACAAAGAAACCAACCAATATAACACAAATACACACAACAATATGGATATATCTAATAATAATTCTATGAGNTTTTACTGAAAGTTAATTTCATATATCAGGCTTCCCAGGTGACTCAGTGGTAAAGAATGATAAAGAAGCAGAAGGTGCAGGTTTGATCCCTGGGTTGGGAAGGTCCTCTGGAGAGGGAAATGGTAACCCACTCCAGAATTCTTGTCTGGGAAATGCCACTGACAGAGGAGCCTGGCAGGCTACAGTCCATGTGATTGCAAAGAGTCAGACGTGACTTAGTGATTAAACAACAATTTTATATATCACTTTAGATATAGAGACTATTTCTTAAATAAGCTAGGGGTATGTAAGGTTTTATCCCCCAATTATAGGGTAAAAATGACCCAATAGGACCGGCCATTAAAGATGTCTCTGATTAATGAATGACCAGAACCAAGAAAAACACCAGCAATGCCTCTCCCCTTTCCTCCTTCCTTCCTCCCCCTTTCCTCTCTTTCCCTCTCTCTCTTTTTCCTTTCTTTTTGGTGACAAAACTGATGTTTTGAAAATTTCAAATTGACCCAGAGGATTACTGTTCTTGTTGATAGCTGCCATGAGAAACTTACATAGCTATAGATAGATATATAAGTTGGTAAATAATAGATAGATCAATAGGTATACGCCTTTCCTCTATCTCATCATTTCTCACTTTTCTTTCATTTGCTTCCACTTCCCTAATTCCTGTGCCATTTCCTTGTTCAGAGCATCTCCACTGGTTTATCTGGCCAAACTGCAATAATTTTCTTAATCTTCCTGTCTCCTCTCTCTGCCTCTTTCAATCTATCTTGTTCACAGCTCTCATAGTGATCCCTAAAGCATAGTAATCATGTCACTTAAAAAAACCAGTGGCTGTCCATTTCCTATCCAAACTCCTAATCTTGGCACTGAAAACTCTATAAATCCCAGTTCTAATCAGTCCATCTTTCACCATTTTGTCTCTATCACACAGTCCTTACCTGCCAAAAGAATGGAAGCACTAATTATTGTTGCCCACAAATAATCTTTATCTTCTATACCTCACTGTTATGTTTTTCTACGTTTTCATTTTTGACACAAAATATCTTGCATCCAATGCTTCCAATTTCATAGCAGTATCTGCCACCTCAGATGCAGACATGTCCATAAAGCCCACTCCCATTTCTTTACCTGGAATTAGCTATCCTCCTGAGCATGCTCCTGAAACAGATATATGCTATCTTTTATTGCAAATATTTGTGCTTAATGTTTAATCTTCTACACTCAATTGTAATCTCCTTGAAGGGATGGTTCCTATGAGATTTTCTGTAGCCCTTTATAAGGGGAAATTCAATAACTATTTATTAGGATGAATTTTTCCAACAGAGAGATACTGAGGAAATATCAGATCATGCATCCTCCAAGAGTTCCACATGCGGCCCTTGATACAAAAAGGAAAATGGTGGCCAGGCCCTTCTCTGGACTGTGGAAAGTCTCTGATCCTACTCTGTTACAAATGACTTTGGTCGCTGGTCTGTTGGCTTCTGTTCTTGGTGAGTAATGGGAAAATGAGGTCAGATTGTCACCATACAACTGAGTTCATCAGCACATCCTATTTTAAGGGTTGTCTAAAAGATACCCATCTTTATTTATTTATATAAATATTTATTTATTTATTTATTATTTATTTATTTATTTATTATAACCCCCTACCTTCCCCCAGCACTAAAGGTTTATTTATGGTCACTTTTAATACTCCTTTTTAGAGCTTTCTCTCCAGGGACTCTTCAAATGATCTAACCTCAAAGTACATCATGATTTGGAGTAAACACATATTACCTGCCACCTGACCATGGAGAGCTTTCATTGCCTGTGTGGTTCTTCAGAAAGGAGTGAATTGGAGGCAGTTCCCTCCAGAAGTCAAACAACTTACCACATGACCTAGCCATTCCATTCCTAGGCATCCCCTAGAAGAACTGCAAACACCTGTCCTCACAGTGACTTGCACACCATGCGCACAGTAGCTCTGGTTTCTAGCCCCACATGGAAAAAGACCTAAATGCCGATTGATGGACGAATGGATAAGCACATTCTGATGCAGTCGTATAGTATTATTCAGGAATACAGAGAAACCAACCAATATAACACAAATACACACAACAATATGGATATACCTAATAATAATTCTATGAGGATGAGAAACCAGACAAATAAGTGTATACCTGTATGTTTCTGGTCAAACAACTTTCTAGAAAATGCAAACTATCCTTCAGTGACAGACAGCAGGCCAGAGGTTGCTGAGGAGGGTGTGGAGGGAATCGGAAGAGGCTTGCGGGCTGGATGACAAGGGGCATGGCTGTGGTTGATGAAGGTGAATTGTCTTCACTGTAGCAGTGATTTCACAGGTGCCACATGGGTTAAACTACCAGATTGCACATTTGTACATAGGTTTATTGCATACAAAATACACCTAAACAAAATGTTCAAAAAGAGGGAGGAAATCATATGTAGCAGCAATCTTTTCCTTTATGGATTCAGGATCTCATGACATTTTCCTCCAAGTATATTTTTGAAAGACTAGGCAAAGATTTCTTAGGAATAGCATCTCAGATAGTTTCATTTTTCATGTGCATATAATTCCATTTGAAATTTGTTTGAAATACTGTGAGTTAGAAATCCAGCTATTTTCCCCAATTCAGTTCAGTTCAGTCGCTCAATTGTGTCCGACTCTTTGCGACCCNATGTAAGGTTTTATCCCCCAATTATAGGGTAAAAATGACCCAATAGGACCGGCCATTAAAGATGTCTCTGATTAATGAATGACCAGAACCAAGAAAAACACCAGCAATGCCTCTCCCCTTTCCTCCTTCCTTCCTCCCCCTTTCCTCTCTTTCCCTCTCTCTCTTTTTCCTTTCTTTTTGGTGACAAAACTGATGTTTTGAAAATTTCAAATTGACCCAGAGGATTACTGTTCTTGTTGATAGCTGCCATGAGAAACTTACATAGCTATAGATAGATATATAAGTTGGTAAATAATAGATAGATCAATAGGTATACGCCTTTCCTCTATCTCATCATTTCTCACTTTTCTTTCATTTGCTTCCACTTCCCTAATTCCTGTGCCATTTCCTTGTTCAGAGCATCTCCACTGGTTTATCTGGCCAAACTGCAATAATTTTCTTAATCTTCCTGTCTCCTCTCTCTGCCTCTTTCAATCTGTCTTGTTCACAGCTGTCATAGTGATCCCTAAAGCATAGTAATCATGTCACTTAAAAAAACCAGTGGCTGTCCATTTCCTATCCAAACTCCTAATCTTGGCACTGAAAACTCTATAAATCCCAGTTCTAATCAGTCCATCTTTCACCATTTTGTCTCTATCACACAGTCCTTACCTGCCAAAAGAATGGAAGCACTAATTATTGTTGCCCACAAATAATCTTTATCTTCTATACCTCACTGTTATGTTTTTCTACGTTTTCATTTTTGACACAAAATATCTTGCATCCAATGCTTCCAATTTCATAGCAGTATCTGCCACCTCAGATGCAGACATGTCCATAAAGCCCACTCCCATTTCTTTACCTGGAATTAGCTATCCTCCTGAGCATGCTCCTGAAACAGATATATGCTATCTTTTATTGCAAATATTTGTGCTTAATGTTTAATCTTCTACACTCAATTGTAATCTCCTTGAAGGGATGGTTCCTATGAGATTTTCTGTAGCCCTTTATAAGGGGAAATTCAATAACTATTTATTAGGATGAATTTTTCCAACAGAGAGATACTGAGGAAATATCAGATCATGCATCCTCCAAGAGTTCCACATGCGGCCCTTGATACAAAAAGGAAAATGGTGGCCAGGCCCTTCTCTGGACTGTGGAAAGTCTCTGATCCTACTCTGTTACAAATGACTTTGGTCGCTGGTCTGTTGGCTTCTGTTCTTGGTGAGTAATGGGAAAATGAGGTCAGATTGTCACCATACAACTGAGTTCATCAGCACATCCTATTTTAAGGGTTGTCTAAAAGATACCCATCTTTATTTATTTATATAAATATTTATTTATTTATTTATTATTTATTTATTTATTTATTATAACCCCCTACCTTCCCCCAGCACTAAAGGTTTATTTATGGTCACTTTTAATACTCCTTTTTAGAGCTTTCTCTCCAGGGACTCTTCAAATGATCTAACCTCAAAGTACATCATGATTTGGAGTAAACACATATTACCTGCCACCTGACCATGGAGAGCTTTCATTGCCTGTGTGGTTCTTCAGAAAGGAGTGAATTGGCTGTAATTATGCTAAGGCTCCCATCCTTTTATTTAATTATTCCTAGGGAGGTACTATTAAGGCTTCATTTTTTAAGGATTTAATGAATCTCTACCTTGTGATGCTTTTTGAAAAACATTTTATTTTCAAATACATAGTCTATTCAAAATCATGTGTAAAATAGATAGCTGGTGAGAAGTAGCTATGTAACACAGGGACCCAAGCCTGGCACTCTGTGGTGACCTAGAGGGGTGGGATGGGGAGAGGGGATACATGTATAACTATGGCTGATCGCATTGTTGTATGGCAGAAACCAACCCAACATTGTAAACAATTTTCTTCCAATTAAAAAACAAGTTTAAAAAAGAGCTAGTAGAGGAAAGAAAAGAAAAAACAAAATCCCAAAGGTCCAAAAGGACAAAAGGAAATATCCTCTCAATTCTGACTCCTGAGTTAACTAATCTTATATAAGGCTATTATTGCTAAAATACATATTACTTCTCAGGCAAGAAGATAGGATTACATGGCAAGGTATAAATGCCAGTGTTCTGAATATGTAGATTGGGGAATCTAATAGAATGATGAAATTCGGGTCTGTTCATCCATTTTCTGACAAATTATCACATATACAGGAGAGGAAGAATGAATTTTTTCTGCCTTTCCCCATTATTATTGTCACTGCTATCAAACAACAAACATGCATTATGGATTGTCTACTGTGTTCACTGAACAGCAGGGTGATAGGAGTCATGAAAAAGAAGAGCATGATCTCTGCTCTAAAAGTCCTATTATTGAATCATTGAGGTGCTATGTCCTAATCTATAACTTGATTCTCCTTGTCATTTTGGTACCCAGGAGATTGTGGTCCTCCACCTGATTTACAGTTTGCTTCTCCAAATAACAAGTTGGATAACAAAGACTTCAAAACTGGAACTACACTGAAGTACACCTGCCTGCCTGGTTATAGCAGATAGATTCTTTAATTCAAAGACTACTTTGATGAAAGTAGTCTTCAAAATTAACATTACCTATAGTATTTGGAGCCAGTCAGTTGGAAATATATGCATTTTGCTAACAGTAAAAATAAGTAATTTTTTCCCCTTCCTCTGTTTCCCTGTGACCAAGAACATATATTTTTAGAACATATTTACATGGATACATATTTACATTGTTCAGCCTTTATTATCACAATGATCTAACTGAGCCACCAAATCTGAGCATATTTTTTCTTCTTTAAAAACTTCTTAAAATATTCAAAAAATGGGATAGATGTTTACTTTTATTTTTCCTCAAAATATAAAGTTCAGTAAGTCAAGGTTAGAAATAAGTCTTGAAAAAATTTTCTGTGTTTATGTGGAAGAAACAGTTAAAGCTAATCAATCAGACTTCCCCCCACCCCCAAACTTTGTCAGTAATTGTAATCAGTTATTATTTTCATTTTCCTCCTAGAGAAGCAATGCAGAAACCTAGGAGACTTACCCAATGGGAAAGTGGAAGTTAAGACAGATTTTCTTTTTGGTTCAACTATAGAATTCAGCTGCTCAGAGGGGTAAGTATAAGGCAACCCAGAAGCAATATTTTTCTTTTCAATTAATTTTTTATAAGTAGATAATACATTCACGTGTTTCAAAAATAAAATGATATAAAAGGTATCACCCAGAATTCTTACTTCCCATCCATCTCATTCCTCTCTGCCCTCTGACAGGCAGTGACTTTAGTTTCTGATTTATCTTTTTAGTTTTTACATATGTAAATACAAATGAGTACTTTATCACACAGAAGACAGCTGACTGCCATTGTTAGTTTGAACCTTGCTTTTATTTTGTTCACTTAACAATATTGCCATGGATTGAATGTTTGTATCCTTCCCAAATTTGTGTGTTGAACCCTGACTTCCAGTGTGATAGTATTTGGAGATAAGGCCTTTGGAAGTTAATTAAGTCATAAGAGTGGAGCCCACATGATGAGATTAGGGCCAATATAAGAAGAAACACAGAGCTAGTTTCCTTTCTGTCTGTCTGCACCACGTGAGGACACAGCAAGAGGACTGCCACTTATAATCCAGGAGGCGGTTCTTGCTGGAACATGATCCTGCTGGTGTCCTGATCTCCAACTTCCAGAACTGTGAGAAGTAAATTTCTGTTGTTTAAACCATCAATCTATGCTATTCCGTTATAGCACCTTGGACTAAGATAAATATTTACTGGAGATCTTTGATATTCATGTGCTGTTTCCTCATTCTGCACATATATGTTTACAACTGTATAGTTTTCCAGTGGATGAATCATAGCCTATCACAGTTTATTTAATGGTTCCTATTGATAGAATTTGTGAGTTTCTATTCTTGTCTTATTACCTACAATGCCCTGATGCATAATTTTCTGTACATGATATTTTACATTCATGCATTTATGTCTGTAGGAAAAATTCCCAGAAGTAAGATTACTGGGTCACAGAGAACGTACTGTAAAATATTGATAAATACTGCTAAATTTCTCTTCACAGACTTTGTACAATTTTGTAATGCAAACAAACATCTATTTTCCCACCATCTCTTCAATTTCAGATTGCCCATTTAGATGAGAAAATAAAACTTCCTTGTAGTTTTTTTAAAACTTATTAATGTGAGATGTGTAGGTTGATATGCAGACACAAGAAACAGTAAAGAAAAATTCTATATATCATTGTTTCAGTTTGTCCCAGTGGTAACGTCTTTCATGACTGTAGAACAGGATCACAATCAAGAAATCGACCTTAATATAATTCATTAACCTTATTCAGATTTCTTTTCTCTCTCTGTGTGTGAGACTTTATTGCTGAGACCATATTCCATGGTATGAAATTTGTTTAGCCATTCACCTGTTGAAAACATTTGCATACAGGTTTTTTGTGTGTATATATGTGAACTTAAGTCTTCATTTTTTTCTGGGATAGATACATAGGTGGGTCATATAATAGTCACACATTTAATTTTTAAAGGAAATTGCCTGTTTTCCAGAGAGGTGGAACCAATTTATGTTTCCATCAGCAATGTCAGACTAATCCACACCATCCACATCAGCATTTGATGCTGCCAATTATTTTAGACACTTTGATAGGTGTGGTAATATCTCACTGTGGTTTTAATTTGTATTTCTGTCGTAGACATTGATGTTGAACTTCTTTTTATGTGCTTATTTGCCATTTGTACCCTTTTCCGTGATTGTTGTTCAGTCATTCAGTTGTGTCTGACTCTTTGCAACCCCATGGACTGCAGCACACCAGGCTTCCCTGTCCTTCACCACCTGTGGGAGTTTGCTTAAACTTATGTCCATTGAGTCGGTGATGCCATCCAACCATCTGATCCTTTCTTGTCCCTTTCTATATCTGTTCATATCTTTTGCCCATTTTCTAGCTGGATTATTTAGCTTTCTACTGTTGAGTTACAAGACTTTTTTAAAAAAAATTCTGTATGCTAGTCCTTTGTTGGGTGTATGATTTGCTAATGTTTTCCTCTAGTTTGTAGCTTGATTTTTCATCCTTTTCACAGATCTTTCACAGAGTTAAGGTTTTTAATTTGGTGAGGTGCAACTTTTCAATTTTCTTTTAGGCATCATTTTATTGGTGTTAAGTCTAAGAATTTTTCACTTAGTCTTTGATACTGTGTGTTTGTGTGGGTCTATTTCTGGGTTTTCATTTTGTTGCACTGGATCTGTTTTTCTGCCAACACCACACTGTCTTAATTACTATAGCTACATAGGAAGTCAACATTGGGTAGAGAAATTCGTTTCACCCCCTTTTTGTTTTTCAGAATTGTTTTAGGTATTCTAGGTTCTGTGTATTTCCATAGAGCTTTTAGAATAAACTTCTCTGTGTCCACAACAAACTTAGAATTTTGATAAGATTTGCATTCTGTGTAGAATTTGACATCTTTGAAATGTCTAGTTTCCCAATTCATGAACACAATACTCTTTTTCATTTCCTTAAGTCTTTTAAAATTTCTCTTTCAGAATTTTGTCATTTTTAGTGCATGCTTTATATACATATTTTATTGTGTTTATATCTATATTTGTATCATTTTTTTGGAGCAATGGTAAATGGCATTGTCTCTTAAAGTTTGATTTTCTCATATCTGTTCTTGGTATATAGTAATATGATTGATCCTGTGTGTTGATCTTTGTCCTGCTGTCTTACTGAATCCACTAAACTAGTTCTGAAAGATTTTTGTTTTGTTCTTGTAGGTCGCTTGTGATTTTCTACTTAAACATTAATGTCATCTACAAATAGAAACAGTTCTTTTTTTTTTCCCCATTCACAATGTATACGTCTTTTATTTCTTTTTCTTTCCTATTGTGCTAGCTAGAACTTCTAATTCTATGTTGAACAACCATGGTGACTGTGGACACCCTTGCCTTATTCCCAATCTTGGAGCAAAGCTTCAATCTTCTACCATTAAGTATGTTAGTACAGGCTTTTTTTTTTTTTTAATAGATGCTCTTTATTGAGAAGTGCTCCTCTATTCTTAGTTTACTGAGAGATTTTATCATGAAAGGTTCTGGATTTTTTAAAATGCTTTTTATTCATCACTGTGCATATGATCACATAAATTTTCTTTCTTCTTTTCTTTTTTTATCCTTTTGGTATAATGGGCTACATTGAGTAGTTTTCAAGTTTTAAAACTGTTTACCTCAAATAAGTTTCATTTGGACATGATGCATCATTGTTTTTACAAATTCTTGGGTTGATTTTCTCATATTTTGCTGAGGATTTTTGTGGATACTTTTAAGAGAAATAAATTGGTCTATATTTTTCTTTTCTTTGTACTATGTCTGAATTTGATATACAAGTAATGATGCGCATTATAAAGTGAGTTAAGAAGTGTTCCTTTCTCTTCAGTTTTCCAGAAGAGATTGTGGAAAATAATTTTTTAAAATATCTGATAGAATTCTCCTATAAAACCATCTGGGCCTAGACATTTCTTTTTCTGTACTCTTAATTATGAAGTCAATTTCTTTAATAGTTCTAGGATTACTCAAATTGTTTATTTTGACTTTGTTGCATTTTGTACTTTTCAAAGAATTATTCTTTTTCTTTTAAGTTGTTAAATTTATGAGAATAAAATTGTTCATTCCTTTATTCTCCCTTCAATGGCTGCAGGATCTGTAGTGAAATTTCATTTCATGATATTCATGATATTGCTGACTTCTGTCTTCTACCTTTATCAATCTTACAAGATATTTACCAATTTTATCTTTTTTTTTTTTAGAGTAAGCTTTTTGTTTCATTATTTCCTTATTGTTTTCCTGTTTTAAACTTACTGATTTCTGCTTTTGTTTCCTTTTTCCTCCTTGCTTTGGGTTTATGGCTTCTTCTTTTTTCATGTTTCTTGAAGTAGGAATTTGGATTCCTGATTTGAGAACTTTTCTATTTTCCAATGTAGGCATTTATTGCTATGAATTTCCATTTCAGCACTGATTTATCTGTGTTCCACACATTCTCTTATGTCATACTTTCATTTTTCTTCTGTGTATTTAATTTCCTTTGAGACTTCCTTTTGACCATGGATTATTTAGAACTGTGCTATTTAATTTTCAATTGTTTTGAGATTTCTCTCTTGTCTTCCTGTTATTTGTCTCTAGTTTAATTCCATTACAGTCAGAAAATATACATTGCATGATTTAAATTTGTATATGTCTACTGAGATTTATTTCATGGTCCAGGATATAATTTTTCCTGGTGAATTTCTCTGGGTGCTTCAGAAAAATGTGTATTCTGCTGCTGTTGAATGGCTTCCTTGTAGTCTTAATGTGCATTTTTCTATTTACAAGTGATGTTGAGCATATTTCATATATCTAAAAGATGTTCAGCTGATGCTGAAGCTGAATCTCCAATACTTTGACCATGTGATGAGAACAAATGAAACATTGGAAAAGACCCTGATGTTGGGAAAGATTGAGGGCAGAAGGAAAAGAGGGTGACAGAGGATGAGATGGTTGGATGGTGTCACCGATTCAATGGATATGAACTTGGGTAAACTCTGGGAGATGGGGAGGGACAGGGAAACCTGGCATACTACAGTCCATGAAGTAGCGAAGAGTTGGACACAACTTGGTTACTGAACAACAACAAAAAGATATCTATATTTATTTATGTGTAAACTGACTTCAACTCCTTTGTTTCTTTTTATGTCAATGAATTACAGTATTTCCTTACTGTGTCATCTTTCCTTTGACTTGGCTTATAGTATTTCTTTCTTGCCAAGCAAAATGTATGTGCCATATATGTTGAACTTATCAATCTTTTTTTTTTTCAAAGGCTTTTGGATTTGAGTTATAGTCAAAAGGCCTTCGTTGCTTGAAGATTGTGATTACCCACAACTATTCAACTATTTTTATGGTTTGATGTTATTTAATTCAGAGAGTTCAGAGGCACTAGCCAATTTTATCTTTCCCTAAATGGATTTCATATTGTCTTGCCACCATTTATTAAAGTCCATGATTAATTCAGTAATTTGTGATAACACTTTTAAAAACTATATTTAATTTCCATATGAATATAGTCTATTTTTTGACTTAAACTGAATGCTTTTAGTTTGTCTATATAGTCACACAACCAGTTCCTCTGTGTTTTAATTACTGAGTTTTCATATAGTGTAACATTGCTTTGAAGTATCTCCTTTACTCCTATACTTTTCCAGGGTTTTCCTGACTATGTTTGCTTATTTGTATTTCTGTATTAACTTTAAAATTAGTTGATTTTTAATTTCTAATAAATTACACTGATTTTTTAAACTAACTTTAGGTGCACAGACACTATATGATGTTGAGTCTTCCTAGCCCAGAATTTGTTATGTCTTTCTATTTGTTCTAGTCTTGTGTGTGTGTATTTCAGGATTGTTTTAAAGATTTTCCCCATTTAGATCTTATTATGTTTATTCTTTGATTTCATGTTTTATTTTTGATATTTGGAATGGTTTGTTTTATTCCATTATACCTTCAGAGAGCTTTTATCTCTATATGGTAACTACAGATTTCTATATATTAATTTTGTATCTCATCTAATATACTGAAATCACTCCTTACTTTTAATAGCATTTCAATTGCATTCTCTTGGAATTGCCTGGCAAGCAATTATGTCATCTGAAAATAATGATATTATTATTTTTGCTTTCTAATTTTTATATTTTGAATTTCTTTTTCTCATAATTACGCTAGCAAGTTTATGTCAAATAAAATACTAATACTGGCCTTTGTTTTCTTCTTCTTGACTTTAGCAGAAACAACTCTAGGATATTCCCCCAAGTTTGGTAGGGCTCTGTCTCCACTGCTTCCCATTATATTGGACATTTTTGCTAAGAATGCTTGGTTTTTTAAAAATGTCATTGTACTGTATCAAGATGATAGTGCTTTTTTCTTCTTAGATTTATTACATCATGTATATATTAATCTGCTCAGGCTGTCACAGCAGCAGAAATTTATTTTTACAGTTCTGAAGCCTGGAAGTCCTAGATTTAGGTCTGACAGCATTCAGTCACATGGCCTTCCCTCCGCACGTGCACGTGGAAGGAGAAAGAGGAAACAGAAAGAGAGAGAGATTGAGAGAGAGAGCTCTGTGAGCTCTGTGATGTCTCTTCTTATAAGAACTCTAATCCTAGTGAATCAGGGCCCCACCCTTGTCACTTAGTTTAGCCTTAATTACTTCCTTACTCCAGATGCAGCCATACTGGGGGTGAGGGTGTCAGTACATGAATTTTGGGAGGACACATATATTCAGTTCATAACAATATATTGTATACTGATATGTTTCCTAATTTTGAAGGTTCCTTTCATTTTTTGTATAAACCTATTTGAGTAAGTGTTTTTAAATTTTGTTTATTCAGGAACCTTTTATTGATATTCAGATTATATTGATAAATAATTTTTTTTTTAAGTAACAAGTTCTGGAAGAATTACTGAGACTTGTTTCAAGGGCAAGAATAACAAGATGGTAATCAGGGAGTTAGTGGTTTATGAGAGTAAGCCAAACTCTAGTGCCAGAAGAATGATTTAAATTAGAGGTCAAAAGTGTTTTTTTAATCAGCAATTTATCTGATTCTTCTATTCAAATGAAACTATATAGGAAACTCAAGTATATTTTTACTCTTTTATACTGCTTTATTTGTGGTTTGTTAGATAAAGAGTTTAAGTGGAGTTCTAAGATTCTGAATGCAAAGCTTGTCATTTACTTTTTTAATTAGTGATGAATATATGCCATGTAAAAAAAGCTTAATAATATGGTTTTAAAAAATGAGTAAATAAAAGAAAAATGGAAAAATAAGGCTTTCTCCTTGATGTGATGAAATTTAACTCCAAGTTGGCCTAAATGGTAATTAGTAATCAAGAAATCATTATTTTTTCATTTTAAAATGTTGAATAAACTTTCTTTTCATCCAGACCTTATTAATTGGCAATTTACATTTAGAATAAGACAACTTCCACTAAAATCTGTGGCCTATCTTATTCAGGTATATCTTAGTTGGCTCAGCTACTAGTCATTGTGAGATCCAAGATAAAGGAGTTGACTGGAGTGATCCGCTCCCTCAGTGTATAAGTAAGTAAAGACTCCTTATGACTTGACTATAAACCTAAACCATATTAGGTAATAAAACACCTATGCCTTTTTGCTGCTTATTGTGCACTCCATTAGAATTTGCATCATGAGTGTTAGATTTGTCAGTATGCCTTCCCTCATTATTTCTTCCTCTTCACTCGTCTCAGTCGCCAAGTGTGAGCCTCCTCCAGCCATCAGCAATGGGAGGCACAATGGTGGAGATGAAGACTTCTACACATACGGCTCTTCCGTCACCTACAGCTGTGACCCTGACTTCTCAATGTTAGGCCAAGCCTCCATTTCTTGCAGAGTGGAAAATAAAACAATAGGTGTCTGGTATCCAAACCCTCCTACTTGTAAAAGTAAGTGACAATGCTGAATGTATTAAGAGAAATGGAATGATTCAAAGACAAACTAATCAAGGCAAAGTTGAATTCATTCACTTGTTCCGCTACTCATACGCTGTTATTAGTCAGAAAGCATAGGCTATACTGCAATAATAATCAATACCAAAATCCCTAGGTATTTTAACAGTAACAGCTTTGTTCTTTGTGTGCATGTGCGTATATATATACATATGTATATCAGTCAGTCAGTTCAATCGCTCAGTCGTGGCCAACACTTTGCAACCCCGTGGACTTCAGCACACCAGGCCTCACTGTCCATCACCAACATGTAAATGTATACATATATACATTTTTATTTCTTTTAGGCTCCTTGTTAGTGTACAGCTCACCTGGGAAATCCTCTAGGGGGCAGTCATTTACATGGTAATCCAGATTGTTTATATCTTCTGACAACTCCCTCACAAAACACCCAAAATCACGTCTGTTCTGTACATCTGCATCTCTATTCCTGTTCTGCAAACAGGCTCACCTGCACCATCTTTCTTGATTCTATACATATGCGTTAATATACGATATTTGTTTTTCTTTCTAACTTATTTCACTCTGTATGACAGACTTTAGGTTCATCCACAGCACTACAAATGACCCAATTTTGTTCCTTTTTTTTTGGCTGCAGAAAATAGCACAACATTGTAAAGCAATTATGCACCAACAAATAAGTTAAGAAAAACCACAAAACTTCCACAATCAGTTCATCAGGGGACGTGAACAAGTAGACAGTCCTTGGCTCATATGTTCTTTGACTTGGAAGTGATATATCTTGCTTTTCATTAAAAATTTTGGCCAGACTAGTCCCTTTTTTCTGCCTGGTATAAAGTAAATAGGTAATATAGTCTTCTGTTTCCCTGGAACAGCTAGAAATAGGGGTGGACACCACACTAGTAACATTAACCACATATATATATAGGGCACAAAGCCATGCCAACGTTACTAGTTCAAAAGTAAAAGATAAGCATAGAAGATATTTTCCCTTTCATCTCTAAAAGCTATGCCAGGATCAGGAATGATTCATCTTACTGGTATAAAACACCTCTAACTGTGGCAATTAACAGACTTTAACAACACAGTATCATTTACTGTTTTGATTTAGTACAATACTGGGGTTAGAGAGAGAATCGTGAAGAGTTCAAAATGCCTAGAGTCTAGCTGCAAGAGCTGGAATTGACAGGACCTGAGGCTGGAAAGTTCGCAGGGCTAGGTTATGAAGGACCTTTGTGTCTTCAGGAGTTCAGAACAAATGTGAAGGGCAGACACTGAAAGGTTTTAACCAGGGGAGTAAATGTGCTGCATTTAAAATGTAAATGTGCTGCGGAGAAGTCTGGCTGTAGGTGGGCAGCAGTTTGAAGTGGGACAGAACTTACCCCATAGACATCTGCTGCAGCTCTCCAGCCAAGGAGTGAGGCTGGTTTCAGCTGAGGCAGTGGCAATAGGCCTGAAGAGAAGTTGAGAAATGCTGAAGGAATTAAAGTGGCAGGACTGACAGTCTAGATGACTGACAGCTGTGGGGTAGTGGGGGAGGGGAGGCTTGTTCTCTGCTTGTGATCTCTGATGCCCTGGCTGCCTCTACATCACAACCATCATATCAGGACGATTGGCCACTGAACCTGAAAGTGAAACCTGCTCAGTCCTATCTCACTCTTTGCGACCCCATGGACTGTATAGTCCTTGGAATTCTCCAGGCCAGAATACTGGAGTCGGTAGCCTTTCCCAATTGGCCACTGACCCACCATCAAAATCATCCAGGAGCGTAAGCCATTAGAAGAGGAAGATTTGGGGGTCTTTGGAATTTGGGCTTTGGGTTTTAGATATTGATTAGGGGTTTTTAAGATATAATCGACCTATAATATTAATTTCAGGTGTACACCATAGTGATTTGATATTTGTGTATATACAGTGAAATTGATCATAATAAGTCTAGTTGACATCTTTCACCATACATAGTTACAAAATAATTTCTCTTGTGATGAGACTTTTAAGACTCTACTCTCTTTGCAACTCTCAAATATATATTGCAGTGTCATTAACTATAGACACCAGGCTGTACATCACATCCCCATGACTCATTTATATCCAGAAGTTTGTACTCTTTAGCCCACATCACTCATTTTGCCCATTGCACATTCCCACCTCTGGTAACCACCAATCTATTCTTTGTAATGATGAAATGGGTTTTTGAAATACTTTTTTCTTTGATGAGAAATTTTAGGACTTTATTCACATTGACTAACATGACAGGACGTCATTTTGCTGAGATTCCTAGGAATTAAAAGAATATACATAGAGCTTTAAGATATTTTCTTTGTATATACTTGATGTAGGCTTGTATCAGGTCTCCCTGAGACCCATATATCAATAGTAATCACATCATTATCACCATTTCTCTTTTGTAACTAAGATGTTCTTTTTATACTTCTTTAGATATAGTTTGTCACCCACCACGAGTTCGAAATGGAAACATTCTCTCTGGATTTGGACCCATCTATCACTACAAAGACTCTATTCTGTTCAGCTGCAAGAAAGGCTATATCCTCAGTGGCGACAGTTTAATCCGCTGTGATGCTGATAACAAGTGGCATCCTTCTCCCCCGACTTGTGAACTCAGTGAGTATGCACCAAAGGGATTTTCATAATTGGCATCTAAAGTTATCCAGGAACATGGGTGTAGCATGCTCACAGGCACAAGCCCACTTAAATCCCAAGAGTCATTTTACATTAAATTAGTACTTTTCTCTAGTTTTCTCATGTCAGGAGGAAGTTTTTTTAATTCTGTTTTTTGCTTTTCCTTTTCCTGCTAGTAATCTGTTTGTGTTATCTGAGGATTTTCTATACATATATATCATACCGTTTTGACCCCAGTGACATCACAGACATGGTAGATTTATTTATTCCTTAAAAAATATTTCAGTAGACACTAGTAAATTGTCTCATCCTAACAAAATAAACATATTCTGAGAATTTTTTGAAAGATGGAGGTAAAATTCCTTCAAGATATTCCATTTAAAAATTTGCACAGAAATGCTCTATGGGCTAATGTTGGCCTTGACACCTTGAAGTTGTAAATACACACAGATCAGTCAGAAGATTAATGATACTTATTGCTAAGAATTATTAAGCACTTTGTATCAAGCATTGTTCTAAGTGCATGACATCATTTAATTCATTTAGTATTTACCATGATCCTAAGAGGTAGATATTACTTTTTAAAAAATCACATCTTTATGACAACAAAACAGAGTGATTAAGTAAATAGCACAAACTCACATAGTGATTTAGCAATGGAAGCCACTGCTACGTTGTGATATACTCATTTCCTTCTGCCATTAGGAGAAAAAGGTGATGATTTGCATATGTAGTGACAAAATTTGATAAATATGCGATTTGACAAACCTGTATCCCTTCTTCAATCCACACATACCTTTGGCATCATATCCAGTAGGGGATAAAAGCAGAATCCAATATTATGTGGAACAAGGTTTAAGCTCAATCAGAAATTCCTGGTGACAGTGTTACAGTATCTGGGGAACACTACAGCTCCTATTCTAATTCCCTTTTAGGCAACGAGAATCAGGCGAACATTTCGTTACTTAGCAGCAAACTTGTGCTGTGCATCCTCAGCAATCTCTGGTGCTTCCATGCTGAAGTGCTTTGACATGGAAGGAGAACTAAGCTCCTGGAGGCCGATCCAGCAACCTAGATATTGCCCCTTTCTGCACCATGCTGTTTCCTCAATGACATCCTCTGGATTGCTGTGTGCACTGAGTGCTTGGCAATAGTCTATCAGAGGTTGCTCTTCCTGGAATTCCTATTAACCTTTGCCACCTGTTTCTTCCTCAGTTAATACGAGCTATACCTTTTCTGGGAATGGGGGCTGGTGTGTGCCAGGCTTATTGGGTCAGTCTGCCACCCCCAAAACAGCTTTATTTCATCTTTGTGCTTCTTTCATGATCAGATAGTTGTATTGGGTTACCAGACATTCCCCATGCTGTCTGGGATGGAAGAGACAACAAGCTAAGCAATCAAGAAGTATTTGAAGTTGGGACTGAGTTGAAATATCAATGCAAGTTTGGCTACAGACCTATTCCAGATGAGCCTCTGACTTTGACTTGTGTGGAAAACTTCACATGGACACCATCCAAAGGGTGTGAATGTAAGTAAACTTTGTTCTGTGTCCTCTTATTTGTGGTATCTTCTTTTCCATTGAAAATGTTGAGCATGTGCTCAGATTTTGTACTTTACAGGTTATAATTGATTTCTTAAAATGTATGCTTTGAAATACTTCTAGAGTTAACTTATTGGACCTTTGCAAAGTAGTAGAGGAGCTATTTTAAAGGTCATCCTGAAGACTAGGAGAGCTGAAAAGTCATGTCCTTCATACTCTGCCCCTTCGAATTCAGCATCAAATGAAAAATCAACTTGGGTATCAAATACGGGTATCACTTTTATAATTGGTAACCCTGTAGAGCAGCTGTCATTTATATGGTAATCCAGATTGTTTAAATCTGTAACAACTCCAGGATAAAACCTCCATTGTCTGTTTTGCAGACCTAATGAATAAGGAGACAGAAATCCGTGAATTGAAAATAGTATATTTTACTTTTCATTAAAGCCTTTTGGCTAGTCTGGTCCCTTGTTGGGGCTTCCCAGATGGTGCTAGAGATAAGGAATCCATCTGCCAATGCAGGAGACATAAGAGATGTAGGTTCAAAACCCACTTCAGTGTTCTTGTCTGGAGAATCCCATGGACAGAGGAGCCTGATGGGCCTCATGAGGTGTGTCCATAGGGCCACAAAGGCACAGAACTGAAACCACTTAGCACACACACACACACACACACACACACACACACACACACGAGTACCTTGTTTCTGCCTAGTGAAAAAGAAATAAAAAATATAGTATTCTGCTTCTTCTGAAGCAACTGAAAATATCGGTGGACTCCACACTGGTGATCTCAGCAGGCCTACAGGATGAAAATAAAATCATACCAATATTTGTAGATAAATAGTAAAAGGCAAGCAGAGATATCATGTTCACCTTCTCTGGAAAAGCCAAAAGGGATGTTCTGTCAGTATCAGTAATGACTCAGCTTCCTGGCCTAATACATATCTTTTACAAGCAGTTAAAAACACAGTGTCACTTACTGTTTTGTTTCAGTACAATGCTGAGGCATTGTTGTTGTTCAGTCCCTAAGTCATGTGTGACTCTTTGGGACCCCATAGACTGTAGCCTGTTAGGCTTCCCTGTTCTTCACTATGTCCCTGAGTTTACTCAAACTCATGTCCATTGAGTCAGTGATGCCACCCAACCATCTCATTCTTTGTCATCCCCTTCTCTTGACCTCAGTCTTTCTCAGCACCAGAGTCTTTTCCTATGAGTTGGCTTTTCCCATCAGGTGGCCAAAGTATTGGAGCTTCAGCTTCAGCATCAGTCCTTCCAATGAATATTCAGGGTTGATTTCTTTTAGGATTGACTGGTTGGATCTCCTTGCAGTCCAAGGGACTGTCATATGTCTTCTTCTAGCCTGCAAAAGCTGGAATTGATAGGACCTGAGGCTGGAAAGGTAGCAGGACTAGGTTACGAACGACCTTGTGTGTCTTCAGAAGTTAAGAATGTATGTGAAGAGCAGACACTGAAAGGCTTTAACCAGGGGAGTAATTGTGCTGCATTTAAAATGTAAATGTGCCGCGGAGAAGTCTGGCTGTAGGTGGACAACAATTTGAAGTGGGACAGAACTTAACCCATAGACATCTGCTGCAGGTCTCCAGCCAAGTAGTGAAGCTGGTTTCAGCTATAGCGGTGGCAATAGACATGAATAGAAATTGAGAAAAGGAATTAAAGTGGCAGGACGGATGGGACTCGATTACTGACAGCTGTGGGGTAGTTGGGGAGGGGGGTTCGTTCTGTGCTTGTGATCTCTGATGCCCTGGCTGCCTCTACATCACAACCATCATATCAATGCTATTGACCACGGACCCACCACCACGATCATCCAGGAGAGTGGGCCATTAGAAGAGAATGATTTGGGGTCTTTGGAATTTGGACTTTAGATATTGCTAAGGTTTTCTTCTTTTTTTGAGATATAATTGACTTAAAATACTAATTTAAGGTATATTTGTGTAAATACAGTGAAATGATCATAATAACTTTAGTGAACATTTATCACCATTAAAGTTACAAAATAACTTTTCTTATGATGAAACATTTTAAGTTCATTCTCCAAGCAACTTTCAAACATATGTTACAGAGCTATTAACTTCAGGCACCATGCTGTGCCCTACATCCCCATGATTTATTTATAACTGGAAGTTTGTACTTTTTGACCCACTTCATTCATTTTGTCCACTCTGCACCCCCACCTCTGGCAACCACCAACCTGTTATTGGGAACTAACAAATTGCTTTTTCAATTTTTTTCCACATTGAATAACATGACGGAACCTCATTTCACTGAGGAACTAGGAACTAAAAGGATATCATCCATCCTTAGTTGCTAAGTCATTTCCGACCCTTTGCGACTCCTTGGGTCATAGCCAGTCAGACTCCTCTGTCCATGGGATTTCCCAAACAGGAATACTGGAGTGGNAGTCTTTTGGATTCTGTGGGAGAAGGTAGGGTGGGATGATTTGAGAGAATAGCATTGAAACATGTATATTATCATATGTGAAACAGATCGCCAGTCCAGGTTCGATGCATGAGACAGGGTGGTGCACTGGGATGACCCTGAGGGATGGGATGGGGAGGGAGGTGGGAGGGGTTCAGGATGGAGAACACATGTACACCCATGGCTGATTCATGTCAATGTATGGCAAAAACCACCACAATATTGTAAAGTAATTAGCCTCCAATTAAAGTAAATAAGTTAATTTTTTAAAAAGTATATACATAAAACTTTAAAAAGTTTTCTTTGTATGTACTTGATGTAGGCTTGTATCAGGTCTCCATGAGACCCAAATCAATAGTGGTCACATCATTATGACCATTTCTCTTTTATGACTCAGATATTCTTTATATGCTTCTTTAGATATTGTCTGTCATCCACCTCAAGTTCCAAATGGAATCATTCTCTCTGGAGTTGGACCCATCTATCACTATGAAGACTCTGTTCTGTTCAGCTGCAAGAAAGGCTATATCCTCAATGGCAGAAATTTAATCCACTGTGGTGCTGATGACGAGTGGCATCCTTCTCTTCCCACTTGTGAACTCAGTGAGTATGCACCAAAGGGATTTTCATAATTGGCATCAAAAGTTTTCCAGGAATATGGGTGTAGCATGCTCACAGGCACAAGCCCACTTAAATACCAGGGTAATTTTAAATTAAATTAGTACTTTTTCCTAATTTTCTCATGCCAGGATAAAGGTTTAATTTATTATTTTTTCCTGCTAGTAGTTTCTTTATGTTATCTGTCTGAGGATTTTGTGTACCTGTAACATGATTTTGACATAAGTGATATCATAGATACTGCAGAATTATTAATTCCTTACAAAAGTATTTCAGTAGACACTAATGAAGTGTCTCACCCTCACAAAATAAACATATTCTGAGAATTTTTTGAAAGATAGAGGTAAAAATTCCTTCAAGATTTTCCTTTTTAAAGTTTGCACAGAGATGCTTTATGGGCTGATGTTGGCCTTGATACGTTGAAGTGGTAAATACATACAGATAGGTCATCATATGAATGATACTTATTGTTAACATTCACAAAGCACTTTCTGTATATCAAGTACTGCTCTAAACATACAACTTTCAATTAATTCAATTACTTAATATTTACTGCATATTCAGTCTCTGGGTAGGAAGATCACTGGAGGAGGCAATGGCAACCCACTCCAGTATTCTCACTTGAAAAACCCCAAGGACAGTGGAGTCTGGCAGGTACAGGCCAAAGGATTGCAGAGTCGGACATGACTGATGGACTAAATACGCACACGTGATCCTAAGAGGTAGTTACTACTTTTTAAAATTCCATCTTAGTGTTGGGAAAAGAAAGGAGTAAGTAACCAGCACAAACTCAGTTAGTTAGGGGTGGAAGCCACTCCTACCTTGTGGTTTATTCAATCCCTTCTGCCATCATAAGAAATCAGGTGACATTTTACCTATGTAGTGAAAAAATCTGATAAACTTGCAAATTGACAGACATGTGTTGCTGTTGCTCCGTTGCTAAGTCATGTCTGACTCTTTCTACCCCATGGACTGCAGCAGGCCAGGCTCCTCTGTGCTCTACTATCTCTGGGAATGTGCTCAAATTCAGTCAGTGATGTTATCTAGCCATCTCATCCTCTGCCACCCAATTCTCCTTTTGCCTTCAGTCTTTCCCAGTCTTTTCTAATGAACCAGCTTTTAACATCAGATGGCCAAAGTATTGGAGCTTCAGCTGCAACTACAGTCCTTCCAATGAATATTCAGGGTTGATTTCCTTTAGGATTGACTCATTCGGTCTCCTTGCAGGCCAAGGGACTCTCGAGTCTTCTCTAGCACCACAATTTGAAAGCATCAAATTTCGAATAGAAGGAGCAAACACTCTTCTTTATGGACCAACACTCACATCCATATATGACTGCTGGAGAAACCATAGCTTTGACTATGTGGACCTTTGTTGGCAAAGCGGTGTCCCTGCTTTTTAATATGCTGTCTCAGTCTATCATAGCTTTTCTTCCAAGCAGCAGGCGTCTTTTAATTTCATGGCTGCAGTCCCTGACCACAGTGATTTTGGAGCCCAAGAAAATAAAGTCTGTCACTGTTTCCATTGTTTCCCCATCTATTTGTCCAAGAAATGATGGGGCCAGATGCTGTGATCTTAATTATTTGAATGTTGAGTTTAAAGTCAGCTTTTTCACTCTCTTCTTTCACCCCCATCAAGAGGCTCTTTAGTTCCTCTTCACTTTCTGCCATTAAAGTGGTATCATCTGCATATCTGAGGTTGTTTTGATTCCAGCTTGTGATTCACTCAGCCTGATATTTTGTATTATGTACTGTGCATGTAAGTTAAATAAGCAGGGTGACAATATGCAGTCTTGTCATTCTCCTTTCCCAGTTTTCAACCATTCCATTGTTTCATGTCTGGTTGTAACTGTTGCTTCTTGACCCACATACAGGATTCTCAAGAGACAGGTAAGGTGGTTTGATATTCCCATCTCTTTAAGAATTTTCCACAGATTGATGTGACCAACACAGTCAAAGGCTTTAGTATAGACCATGAAGCAGAAGTAGATGTTTTCCTGGAACTCCTTTGCTTTCTCTATGATCTACTGAATGCTGGCAATTTGATCTCTGGCTCCTCTTGCCTTTTCAAAACCCAGCCTGTACATCTGGAAGTTCTCAGTTCACATACTTCTGAAACCTAGCTTGAAGTATTTTGAGCATAACCTTGCTAGCATGTGAAATGAGCACAGTTGTTCAGTAGTTTGAACATTCTTTGGAACTCCCCTTCTTTGGGGTTAGAATGAAAACTGACCTTTTCCAGTCCTATAGCCACTGCTGAATTTTTCAAATTTGCTGGCATGTTGAGTGCAGCACTTTAACAGCATCATCTTTTAGGATGTCAAATAGCTCAGTTGGAATTTCATCACATGCACTAGCCTTGTTTATAGTGATGCTTCCTAAGGCCCACTTGACTTCACACTCCAGTATATCTGGCTCTAGATGAGTGGCCATAGCGTTGTGGTTATCAGGGTTGTTAAGATCATTTTTGTATAGTTCTTCTGTGTATTTTTTGCCATCTCTTCTTAATCTCTTCTGCTTCTGTTAGGTCCATACCATTCTTGCCCTTTGTCATGCCCATCCTTGCATGTGTCTCCTTGATAACTTCAATTTTCTTGATGAGATCTCTTGTCTTTCCCACCCTATTGTTTTCCTTGATTTCTTTGCACTGTTCATTTCAGAAGGCTTTCTTATCTCTCCTTGCTATTCTCTGGAACTCTGCATTCAGTTGGCTATATCTTTCCTTTTCTCCCTTGCATTTTACTTCACTTCTCTCATCAGCTATTTGTAAGGCCTCCTCAGACAACCACTTTGCTTTTTTGCATTATTTTTCTTTGGGATGATTTTGGTCCCTGCCTCCTGTATGGTGTTATGAACCTCTGTCTGTAGTTCTTCAGGCATTCTTTCTACCTGATCTAACCCCTTGGATCTATTCATCACCTCCACTGTATAATCATAAGGGATTTGATTTAGGTCGTACCTGAATGACTTAGTGGTTTCCCCTATTTCTTCAATTTAAGCCTGGATTTTACAAAAGGGAGCTCATGCTGTGGACCAGTCAGCTCCAGGTCTTGTTTTTACTGTCTGTATAGAGTTTCTCCATCTTTGGCTGCAAAGAATGTAATCAATCTGATTTCCATATTGACCACAAGGTGATGTCCATGTGCAGAGTCATCTTTTGGGTTGTTGGAAAAGATGTTTGCTATGACCGGTATGTTCTCTTGACAAAACTCTGTTAACCTTTTCCCTGCTTCATTTTGTACTCCAAGGCTAAACTCACCTGTTATTCCAGATATCTCTGGACTTCCTCCTTTTGCATTCTATGAAGAAAAGAACGTTGTTTTTTTTGATGTTAGTTCTTGAAAGTGTTATAGGTCTGCATAGAACCAGTCAACTTCAGCTTCTTTAGCATTAGTGGTTGGGGCATAGATTTGGATTACTGTGAAACTGAATAGTTTTCCATGGATACAAACTGAGATCATTCTGTTGCTTTTGAGATTACATCCAAGTACTGCATTTCATACTCTTTTGTTTGACTATGAGGGCTACTCCATTTCTTCTAAAAGATTCTTGCCCACAGTAGTAGATAGAATAGTCATCTGAATTAAGGTCTTCCCTTGCAGATCAGCTGGTAAAGAATCTGCCTGCAATGCGGGAGACCTGGGTCCTATCCCTGGGTTTGGAAGATCCCCTGGAGAAGGGAAAGGCTACTCACGCCAGTATTCTGGCCTGGAGAATTTCATGATATGGGGTCAGACACAACTGAGTGACTTTCACTTTCTGAATTAAATTCACCCATTCCCATCCATTTTAGTTCACTGATTCCTAAGATGTCAATGTTCACTCTTGCCATCTCCTGTTTGACCACATCCAATTTACCTTGATTCATGGACCTAACATTCCAGGCTCCTATGCAATATGTCCTTTATGGCATTGGACTTTACTTTCATCACCAGACACATCCACAACGGAGCATCACTTCTGCCTTGGCCCAGTACTTCATTCTTTCTAGAGCTATTAGGAACTGCCATTCACTCTTCCCCAGTAGCATACTGAAAAGCTCCCACCCTAGAGGGCTCATCTTCTGGTGTCATATCTTTCTGCTTTTTCATACTGTTCCTGGAGTTCTCATGGCAAGAATACTGGAGTGGATTGTCACTTCCTTCTCCAGTAGTTCACTTTTTGTCAGAACTCTTCACTAGACCCCCTGTTTTGAGTGGCCCTGCATGGCATGGCTTAGCATTTCATTGAGTTAGGCAAATCTTTTCACCAGGAGAACAAGGCTGTGTTCCATGAAGGGGCTACATGGCAGACATGTATCCTCTCTTCAATCCATGTGTGCCTTTGGCATCATATTCAGTAGGGAAAAAAAGCAAAATCCAAGAGCTAAGTGGGGGCAACGTTCAAGCTCAAATCATGAAGTTCCTGGTGACAATGTTATAGTATCTGGGGACACTACAGCTTCTATTGTAATTCCCCTTTAGGCAAGATCTGGGCCTCCTTATCTGGTCTAGGGAACATAGCCTCAGGAGTTAGGTCCTGCCACAGAAGGAAGGAAGCCTTGACCAGAAATGTAGAGACTTTTTTACAGATGAGATGCCCCTGCCGTCTCTTCCTCCACCTCCTTGTCCTTTGGGGAAAGTGAGCAAGGAGGTGAGGGATGAGTGGATGCTCTTCCGGCCTTAGATAGGGATGTCAGGAAATGAGGAAAATGACTCCATTCAGACAACAAGGATTCTGTCATTCTGTGAGTGACATCACGGAGGCCCAGACTACATGGATTCCACACAGTTAGATTTTAATGTATTATGTAGAGACAAATAATGAGCAGTCCTAGTTTAGATCAACCTATTGAGAAATCAATATTCAAAATCAGGAATTAACTAAATACATTTGAAAAGAATGGTATTCATAATATGACTAATTCTATTGGGAAAAATGGGGCATATTTTATTAATAAAAAGACAAAATTAAAAGCATATTTAAAGAAGAACAGGAGGGTGAAT